TACAACCTGTCTTTGGGAGAAAAACTCTAGAGTTAGTGGAGTATTCTCACTGCTCCTGCCCTTTCATAGTTAGGGAGGGAGATGCTTTTAGAAGATGCTATACCTAATGCAGTACCCATTTCTGCAGGCTTGGGGGGAGAGAGGGAGCTGTGACCTACATAAACTGTGAATTCCCAGAAAAAGTGAAGAGAAAATATGAAAACTCAGAACCAAAAATTCAGCACCCCCTCCCTTTGTGACAGTTAGTCAAAAGTGTGGGTCACATACTGAATGCTACAAGTGAAGGTAGGTCTGTGTCTTCACTGTCAGACAGCATTCTGATTGATTTAAGGTTAGGCAATAGAGAAGGCTTTCCTGCCCTTCCACTCTCCACTCTTGGAAAAAGAGATTTCTGTGGTGGTGGTGGTGGTGGTGGTTGTGGTGGTGGTGGTGGTTGTGGTGGTGGTGGTGGAAGAGTCCTTAAGGGTACATAAAAATGCTTGTCCCTCAAGTAGAATAAATGCATGAAGGATTTTGAGCCAAACACAGGAGCTCTAATGCAACTTCCCATATGGAGCAGAATTTCCTCTATTCTACCCATGACAAGAGGCCATTCATTCAGTCTTTGTATAAACAGCTCTAGTAACAGATAAGGAGCCCACACTCTCAAAAGACAGCCTATTTCATTTTTAGCTCGGTGTATTATAATATAAACCCCTGCAGGAATGTTACTCTGCTCCAACATGAGATAGCCCAAGGAGCAAGTGCATATAGTGAAGCCCAAGTGTAGCAAGACACCCTGAGAACCACAGAACTGTTCATTTTGTATATTTTTCCTTAGAAATAGTGAATGATGGGGGCAGGGTAAGCAGAAGGGAACTTTTCTACAAAGATTCACTTTTATTCTGATTTCTCTTAAGAAGCCATATATAAGCACATTTCTCCAGCCTTAGACCTCAGCAGCAACTAGCATTTTACACCCATGGAAAATATTTGCCTCTTTAATGGCCCATGAGATGATGGACACACACTGATAGAACAATGGCCTTCCAAACATGACAACTAGGGAGGGCTCGTGGGTGTCAGGTTATTCTAACAAGTGCCTTTTTCAACTTGGAAAAAAATGAGTAAAAGCATTCTAAAGTCCAGGGTCTAACTTCCATCCCCTAGTCTCAGTCTCTCCTGTTCTTGCTCTAGGTCATGAACTCATTATTTTTAATTGGACCAGTAGTATAGCCTTCTTTGTTTCCGGCTTTCTTTATGGCTTTCTGGCTTTCTTTTCACTATGACGTGTCTAGGAGTAGATTTCTTTTTATTTATCTTGCCTATGATTTATTGGGCTTTTTGAATTTGTGAATTCAAATTTACAGCCATCATCTTCAATTGGGACTTCAATTAAATATATGGCAGACCTTCTCACTCTATTAATTGAGTCTCTCATCCTCCCTTTTTTATTTTTCCAAATAATTGGTTTATCCAGACAGAACTCTGGGCAATTTCTTATGACCTATCTTCCAATTCAATAATTCTCTTTTTAGTTGTGTTTAGCCTTCTCTTAAACCTATTCATTAAATTCTCAAGTTTCATTGTTATAGTTTTTAGTATAACTAAACTAGTTATAGTTTCGTTTTTTGCCTTGATTTTTTTCAAAATAGCTCTATTAGTCTTTATGATTATCTGTTCCTTACAGATATTTTCAAACTTAATTTTAATTTTTTGGAATAAAGTGAACCATAGTTATTGTAGTCTTTGTCACGTAATTCTGATACCTGAAGTCTTTGAGAGTTTGTTTTTGTTGTTTATTCTTTTCTACTGGCTGTCATGGTCTATGTTTTTCCTTTTATGCCAAGTTATCTTTGACTATATGCTGGCATATTTTTGAAAAAATATTGTACAAATGATTCTACGACTCTCTACCTTCCAGTAGAGAGTCTTTTCATTTGCTGGGGGTATTTTCAAATGCCTGAGGATACTACTTGTCCAAGGCCATTTTAACCCAAGATCATGGCTTTAGGTTCCTTGGACTGCCCACATGATGAGTATCTAGGTTTACAAGACCACACAAGGGCTGGTTACTTATGGGTCGCCATTAACCCAAAGGGGTAGCCACTCAAGGTTTCAGCTGAGAATGACAAGAATGCTAATCAAATCCCCTACTTCCTTGGACCTTGAGCTTTCACTTTTTTCCTTATGATGCCACCAAAACTGCAGCTCAATTTCATAACTCTCTTCCAGATTCAGTAGAAGCCATCAGGACAAAAGAGGATTCTAGTGCTGGGCTTTCCTCCCTGGGTTCTTGTCTTCTTCTGGATTTTAGCCTCAGTATCTCTCAGTTCTTTATAACAATTATTTCTTTCTACATTCAGCCAGTTTGTTTCATTGTCCTCACTGGAACAGTTAGTTCAAGCTACCTAGCTGGCTATTATCAGAAGGAGATGTGTGCTCTTCTTGCCCCCAGTCCCTCTTCCTCCCAGTGTTTCCTTCAGTGCCAAGGTGCCACTCTGATTGTGTCATTCCCTTGCACAAATCCTTCAAAAGATTACTGTTGACTCTAAAATAAAATACAATTTTTTATTTTGGAAAATTAGGACCCAGATACTTTCTCTTGCCTCATTCATTACACAAGAATTTATTGTGCACTGAGTGTGTGTTGCTTACAAAGTCAAGTTCTACCTAATCTCTCACCTCTTACCTATTTCACCTGTTTTCTTACCTCCAAACTTACTCTACCCTCCAGCCAAACTGGAATATTCACTGTCGTGGGCAGAGCTGGGTCAGAACACAGATGGGCTAACTTCCAGATGAGTGTTCTTTGCCCTACACCATTATCCTACATTCAGGCTTAAGCTTATTCAATCTAGATCTTTATGGATATTATAATAAATTAACTAGACAAACGCTTAATAAGTTCAAATTATAATGGCATTTTTGTATTTCTTGTTGCATTTTGCCTATCCTTTTCTTGTGAGTCAGAAATTTCAATGAAGCATTACCTCTAGGGAGACCCGAAGTAGGGGAGGGCCTTCTGGGATGTAAGTTCTGGAAGAGAATTCATCGTTGCCATCAACTTTTTGTCGATCTTCATAGTCACAAGGGTATCTAAGAACAAAATTTCAGGCTTCAGGCTTCAGGCTTGTTTCCTCTGACAAGTGAGGGACCAGACCAATTGCCTGTGGAATTTGATTCCTCAGTGCTGGGAACATCCCACATTCAAACAAATCTACTCCCACCTGCTGGTGGTTTGCTTGAACTTCCAGTCAAAGCTGACTTGGACTGAAAATGCACTCTTCTCGAAGTAAGCAAACCTGGAAATACGGATTTTAGTTTTGGCCTCCGCTACTGTGTGACATTGGGCCAATCCCTTTTTCTTCTTTGGGCTTCAGTTTCCCTACATTACAACCAAGGTGGCTGGACAAAATGCCCCGGAATGGCCCTAACATTTTTGGCAAACAAGGATTTTCTCTACAACGACATCTGTGTGACCAGAGGTCATGGGGCAGGACTGATAGCAGTAGGGGTGGGTTTAATCTGCTCTTATATGTGATCCTGACAAATGGGTCCCACCATCCTTTTTCTTACTGCAATGGACAGGGAAAGAGGGGAGATGGGAAAGAAAGGTGAAGGCAGGAAACTATGAGCGACATTTTTAATAAAAGTACGGTTCTAAAATGATTTTAAATGGGGAGTGGTAAAAGAGTTAAACGCTCAGCTGTGCAAAATCGCTTGGCCTACCAGGTTAAGTCATGCTTTGCTGGGCACAAGCAATCTCAACTCATTTCATCAAATACTGAGGGGGAAAAAACGGGGAGATGTTTTGTTTCTCAGTGAATGTTCAGTTAACCAAAAGTAAACCTGAAATCCATTTTGATTGCAACTCTTCTCAATGGCATGATGTGGGAGGTGGCATGCTGGTGAACATGGCAGCTCTATTTGTTGATTACCCATTTGACCTATGGGCTCTGGTGAGGTCACTTTCTAAGCTTTCTGAACTTGCTTTGTCATGGGATAGGAAGGACATAGGAAATTGGGTGGAGGCATTTCTTATCCTCCACGATTTTTCTGTCCCAGAGGGGCAGTGTCTGAGGTAGTGGAAAGAATAAGAGCCCTCTAGTCAAGATGCCAGGCTTTTCCATATGATGGAGTCAGAACGCAGGAACATGAGCATACCCTGGTCTCCAGTGCCTAACTCCCTTGAACACCCCCAAACACTGACCTTGGCCTTCTTTTCCCCTTCTGGTGTCAGCCCTGAACCATCATTCTGCATCCCCTAGCTGATGAGACACGACCACATCTCAGGGAGACCCCAGTTGGTGAGCCCTTCCAGTTCCCTGAGTCGTTTTCCTGAGTACCCAAAGTTGGGGTGAAGAGCACTCGAGGAAATTTAAGTCTTAAGCAACTCTTGGGCTCCTGTAGCCCAATGTCCGTTCTGATGGAGGAGCATTCCTATGTGGCCGGAGCCCTGTAACAAAACCCATTAGGATCCCCCTTGACCTCACTCAGAGGCAAGGCACGCGGGGTTACTGGAGGCTCAAGGGTACTGAGTGACCAGTCGTTGGGTACTTCCTGATCCCCCAAATTGTCCAAGTCTTTCAGAATGCAGATTCAGCCATGGCAGTCAAATTACCATACTCCCTTCACCATAAAATACAACTCTCGCGCACAGGCTCTTTCTTCCAAGAAAAACACACATTTCACATTTTGCAGAGAAGAGAGAGGACCCAGTGCCCCTTGAGGCGGATTCCCCGCCCAACCCCCGAGGAGCCAGCCCTCC